GACGAGGACGACAAGGATTCCAATAATGACTTTTAATGTAGACACAACAAGGCAGATTCAGGTAGGTGAGACACACACACACACACTCGGGGTAACATTCACAATAACCGACAACTAAAGCTCAGACAGACAGGAACTAATATAGGGTGGATAATTAGTGGCAGACAGGTGAGCACAATGAGGGTAATTAACTAATGATTAGTACGGGCTAATCCAACAAAAGGGGAAGAAACCACAATAAACAGTCCACAGGGGCGTTACAATACCATGATCACTTGCCAGCATGGACAAATTAAAGCTTTCATTGATGTTTGAAGAGCAAAAATTGACTGAACGGGTAAAATAAAGGTAATTTTCATGAGTTATTTTATCTATATCTGCTTTAAAATTCGACATTAAGAAAAGTTATCTTTGTGGGCAAATGTGTCTCCCTTACCTTGTGATGGCTTGAAATTTTTTGAGTTGTGTTTAGATGTAGATCATGTGTCCAAATATCGGATATGTATCTGATTTAAAACAACATCAGGAAGTGTTTAGAACGGACCTCGTATGGATTTTTGTGTTTACTGATATTGATGCTAAATTGATAGGTGTCGTTCAATATGTGAACAAATTACTCTTTTCAAATGAACCAGTTGATTCCGCTCACCTCACTAATTGGACGGAACGATTTGCTTACGAATAGGTCTGATCCAGTCCAATGAGTTTTCAAGCTCAGTTTACTGACTCGGTGATCTGCAGATTTCAAGTTTATAGTTCAAGTTTATAGTTATGTGTTTATACGTATGCAATAATATCTGATCTGAGTCACATGTGAGTAAAAAATCTGATTTTTGAGCCAGTGTAAACGAAGCCTAATAGATTCAAAGCCACAAAAATTAGATTTTGATTTTATAGGCTTTTTAAGAGTCCAAATATTTTTGGTGCCACTAAGGACACATAACTATTCACTTAGTGACTGCAGGATGTTTAAGCTGAAAAATGAAGACATGACTTCCTTTGATGAAGGAAGAAATGACAGTCCCTCCGGATGCCAGCCTGAGACAAGCAGAGGAATTTGTAACCCTGACGGCCCTGTTGATGCTTTTGCTGTGGCTGTTATTGTTGAGTATATTTTCCCTTTCCTTTTTTTCTAGATCAATCCCCTGGTCCCTCCGTCAGCTCTCCTCGCCTGACGCTACAGTGATCATGAAGACTGCCGGCCTCATCACTTTCAGAAAAAAAAAACCATCCTCACACCTCATCCTGTTTGTTTCCCTCCTCCCCCACCTCTCTTTCTGTCTGTCTCATGCACACACGCGCGGGCTGTGGAGTGTGACAAATCTAAGGGACTCCTGAGATCTTCCCCTTAAATTAAATGGCCTCCTCTTAGAATCCAGTAGTACTCTCCAGAGTAACTTCTCATACAACTGCTCATTGCCAAGCTCCATTAGAAGATGGAATGCATGCTGCTGTGTGAAATACAAGCAGGAAGACATTGACAAGAAGAAATGCAACAGCTTACAGGAGACAAAGCCACTGTGGATGGAAGAAAGTGAGCATGCAGAACGCATCGCTGAAAATGCAAATATTTTAATTAATTTATTGTTATGATGCTGAAACTGTGATGTGAAAGCATCAAACTGCTTCAGAAAAAGACTATTTTGTTATTATTTACTCACTTCATGTCAAATCTAAACCTGTATTTTTTAATTTAATTTAATTTTTTTTATTTTAGTGGGAAAGAAATAGATAAAAAAACACTGACCTTATCTATAAAACAGGATCATAGTAAATACAAACAATACAAAATATTTTAGAATAATCATCTCCACTGCAGCTCTTAATTGATGTCATCTGATTGCTAGGTGTCATTCAATATGTGAACAAATTATTATTTTCAAATGAACCAGTTGATTCAGTTCACTTCACTAACTGGACGGAACGATTCATTTACGAATAGGAAAGATCCAGTCAAACGAGTTCACAAGCTCAGTTCACTGACTCAATGATCTGCAGATCTCAAGTTTATAGTTCACTGCAAGAAAGAATTATCAGTGAATAATGATTGAAATTTCAGTCTGTGCCAGTGTTATTTTAGTATTATTTATATACTATTCATTAATATTTAATATTTTAAATGAGCATTTAGTTTTATATTTTCAGTTTTCATTTTAATTTTAGTTTAAGTTTTAATCTTTTTTATGTGCTTTTGACATTTTTAGTTTTTGTACCTATTTCTATTTAGCTTTACTTTTATTTCAGTTTTAGTTTTTGTAATTGTAATACTTCAACATTTTATTTTAGTTGCAAAGGCAACATTTCTAATTTTGTTAAAGTTAGATTTAGTACAATTTTTATAAAATATTTTTATTTAATTTAATTTTAAGATTTATTTCAATTAACTAAAAAGATTTGTAATAGTTTTAGTTTTGGCTAACGATAACAACACTGGTCTTGAGTCTTTCAAATTGCACTTTTTGTCTTTCACAAAAGAAAATAAAAGGATTCAGGGTTGGAATGACATGAGAGGTAGAAAATGATGATATTATTATTATTTTTTTTTGGTAGACTACTCATTTAACTGTGAGCATGTCTCAAAACTGCTTTGCTTTGAGGACTAGGGATCTGAATACAGACAACGTCATGCTTCATGGGGTCCAGCAAAGGGTCTCCGCAGTTGTAAAAGTAGCCAGTCAGCTGCAGCCAGTGGTGATCTAATCACCGACCAGCCTGCCTACCCAAGATTGCAGGGGGAGCATTTCTCACTATCTCAGCTTTTCTCTTCTCTAATGCTGCAACACAACCATCTTCTGTCGGCTCTGCCGGCCATTGGAGTGGATAAGTAATTCATATCTTGGGCAAGGTGCAGGGAGTGAGTGGCATTTATAAGCTTGCTATCTCTGAGCTTCAAGCCAGTGATGAAACGACTCTCTGCTCAGAGACATTACAGTGTATAGGATGGATGACAGGTCCGCTCAAGAGCAACAACACTGGGACAACAAAACACTAAGTAAAGAAAAAAAAATCATGAGGAGGTGAAAAATAGCTGGGTGAATGTGAGCCGACAAATAAACACAATGATATACTGTACAGCAAGATACAAAGGTCTGAGGCCACATCTGAGATTTATAATCTAATTTAAAAGGTTTTAGGATCTAAAAATATGAAACAAATGAACAAGTACTTAAGATTCTGTACTATTTATAGGTCACTCATCATTCAATTGAATTTGTGTCTCTTTGTATTGACAATTAGATGTTCTTGCTACCATTGTAACTCTTAAGTCGGGCAGTGCTGAATGCTTATTGATGAGAGAAAAGTCTGGATTCTGTGATGCTTGCTGGGGAAATCTTTCACATGGACCACAGGTACGCCAACATGTGCTCTTTTAAACTACATCAGAACACGTTTTTTAAACTGGTCCAGTGTGCAACATAAAATAATACATATTGGAATCATTCATTTGGTACGTAAGTCGGGCAGTGCTGAATGCTTATTGATGAGAGAAAAGTCTGGATTCTGTGATGCTTGCTGGGGAAATCTTTCACATGGACCACAGGTACGCCAACATGTGCTCTTTTAAACTACATCAGAACACGTTTTTTTAACTGGTCCAGTGTGCAACATAAAATAATACATATTGGAATCATTCATTTGGTACAAAGATTCTGTACTATTTATAGGTCACTCATCATTCAATTGAATTTGTGTCTCTTTGTATTGACAATTAGATGTTCTTGCTACCATTGTAACTCTTTGGATCATTAAAGCAAAAAGGGTGACAAACCAAATAAAAAAAAAACCCATTCAATTCACCTTTTCACTTAGATTGTTATGTTGATAACATTTATGAAGAAAAAATATATAATATGTTAATAATTAGATGTTCTTGCTACCATTGTAACTCTTTGGATCATTAAAGCAAAAAGGGTGACAAACCAAATAAAAAAAAAAAACCATTCAATTCACCTTTTCACTTAGATTGTTATGTTGATAACATTTATGAAGAAAAAAAATATAATATGTTAATAATGTGTGTGTGTGTGTGTGTGTGTGTGTGTATACACATAGTTTTTTTAATAGCCTTTATATATATATATAAAACAAAAAGACCTTGGTCAATATAGATAGTCAAGAAGCACAGAATATGTAATCTAGACATTATATGTGAATGTGTGGTTGATGTTTTAGGCTAATCTGCTGAAATAAGGTTGTATTTGTGATGGTGGATTGATAAAGGATTCCCATAATGAAACAAGGTTCTCGTTTTGAGGGTCTTATCAACTCCTGCCTCTCAATCACAGTGATGGTTATCACTACTGTGGCTACTAAAATCTGCTAAGGAAAGATAAGTCGGGCAGTGCTGAATGCTTATTGATGAGAGAAAAGTCTGGATTCTGTGATGCTTGCTGGGGAAATCTTTCACATGGACCACAGGTACGCCAACATGTGCTCTTTTAAACTACATCAGAACACGTTTTTTTAACTGGTCCAGTGTGCAACATAAAATAATACATATTGGAATCATTCATTTGGTACAAAGTACTTTGCAGGAAACAAATACAGTTAAAGCATTAAGAGAAATTAAATTCTTAAAAAATAAAAATAAACCCATATGAGCTCATTAATTACAACTACAGCTAGCGTCCTTTCTGAGTCACCTGGCTCAACCCTGACCTCACCTTCTGGATCGTTCAACATGGAGCCAAAGGCACTGATGATGAAGTCTGCTTTCAGGTGGACAATTTGCTCCTCATCAACAATCCAGGTCCCATCACCCTGCTGCTCTGTGCGGCAAAAACGCAGGCCAACGACACGTCCATCTTTCTTGATTACCTCATGAGGAGACAGGAAGGGCAGGAACTCACACTTTTCCTCTTTGGCCACCTCCATCTTAAAAAACAGAAATCAAAAGAGAAGCATGTGATTCGAATTGCTAACATTGGAATGCGTGAAAACAGAGTTAACTTCATGCATTCATCTTTAGAAGGTGGTCATGACACTAAAATTTAAGTATTGGCTATACTTCAAAAACTTCAAAGAAACCTGAACATCTTCCTGAGCCTGCTTACAGACATCATCACCCGTTTTACCATACCGCACCATTTATCTGGAAACCCAAATCTTCCCAGTGAAAATCTCCTAAAAGTTTCTACAAAGCTAAGTTTCAAACCCCAGAAAGCATTTTTGTATATTTCACTCTCTACTTAACCCTCCAGCTTATCCTACTCCTTCCACTGTATCTCCTGATAACTTTAGCAGTGCATTGCTTCTTTCCTCTTAAGAATCTACAATAAAACACTCCAGTATAAACCATTTACCAGGTTCACAAGCACAAGACTCCTAAAACCCTTCCACATGCACTTTTGACCTCCTCTTCAACCCTTCTTTTCTCCATCTTACACTCCTCTACATCACCTCCACCATCACCTGACCTCCCTAACTTCAGGTCCTCTTCACGTCGGTTTGTAGTCATGCATCTGACAGGTTATAAGAATCTTTACTGCCCTTTCTCAACAATGAAGAGCAGTAGTTCTCAACTGGTGGGTAGTGACCCAAAAATGGGTGACAAGTCTGTTCTGATAGGATCATGGATGGAAGGGATAAAATAAAATTACATTTTATGTCTATTGTGAAGCAAGACAGACTGTGTTCAAGCATATCCCAGACTACACCTGCAAGAACAACTTCATTGCTGAAAATTGGTTTTGAAATGGCACACTCCACAAAAACAGCCCTAATCACAGCAATTGAATTACAGGGTCTGCACTCACATTGTTTTCATTGTACCTTCAGAAAAGTACCTACTGGATATAATGGGAAGGACTCACTTCATCTCCACATCCATTGGAGTTCCATAGGGTTCAGTACTCAGTCAGACCAGTTCTGTTCTTCCTTTACACCAAATGGTTTTGTAGTCATGGCTTCATCTTTCATTCTTATTGAGCTGATAATCAATTAATTCTCACTTTCCCACCCTCTGACAACCACGTATCTCACAAATCACCTCGTGTCTGGCTAGCATTTTTACATAGATGAACAGCTGTCTCTGAAGCTAAATTTATAAAAATTAAAAAATTTAAAAAAAAGCTTCTGTGCATCCCATCTAAAAACCACCCTTGCCAAGACCTTGTCGTTTCAATAAACAACTCCACCATCTCACCCACACAGAAAGCTAAGAACCCTGATGTCACACTGGACAACAACCTATCATTTGCAACACATAAACTAACCACAGTCAAGAC